AATGATTTTTTAGATTTATATTAAATATATTTACTTTTTTAGAATCGAGGCACACTCGTAGGAGAAATTGTAATTTGCCTACTACGAGGCAAATACAAAACAGAAGGGAAAACCGTGACGAGCCTGCGAGGCAAAACTAAAATAAATAGTAAAATCGCGACGCGCCTACAAGGCTATAAAAATTTTGGTTTTTTTTCTTATTGTTCATTTAATTTTATTTTTTTTCATATTGTTCATTTTTTCTTTTCGTATCGTATGTTTAATTTCATTTTTCTTTTTCATTTTTTCGTTTTGTTTCGTTTTTTCATTTCGTTTTATAGTTTTATTTCATTTTTTCTTTTCGTATTGCACGTTTAATTTCATTTTTTCTTTTTCGTTTTATAGTTTTGTTTCGTTTTTTCATTTCGTTTTATTTTCCTAATTTCATTTTATAGTTTCATTTTATTTTCCTAATTTCGTTTTATAGTTTCGTTTCAGTTTCTTAATTTCATTTTTATCGTCTCGTTTAGTTTTCTTTTCAGTTCGTTTTTATTTTTTATTTTATTTTTATTTTATTTTAAAAAAAAAATTTAAATTAATCAAACTGTCATATAACGATTAACAGATTGCATGTTAAAATAAAATGACTAGAATTTACAAAATATTTCTGGAAAAACATTAATTGTCTATATAACAAAGTGACTTAATCACTTGTTGGACTTTCTGTTAAACTCTCTCTCTCTCTCTCTCTCTCTTTATTTGTAAACTTAAATTTTAAAAAATGATAATGCGTTGATATGAAGATCTTAGTAATCATTTTTTAGCTGGTAAAGTTTGATTTTTACTAATTTTTATTATAGGTCTAACGTTTTTTTCCACATTGTTGAATAATATTAGCACATCAGAGGAATTGAGGTCAAAAGCTACTTTTTACTTGGACGTTATTTTGTTAAGTGATTTGAAACCTGGTAAATTGAGTATCACTCCTTATTATCGTAGAATCAATACCGCATAATTAATCATTTCCATAATTAGTATTCGATAATGAAGATTATGAGGATCATTGAATCCCATAATTTCACATTTTTTTCATATTTTATATAAATAGCTAACAACAAACAACAACAATACTCAACACTCACTCCAACAACAACATACTCACAACAATTCCAACAACAACACTCACTCCAACAACAACATACTCACACTTACTTATTTCCATTACTTATGGTGGGTGTAGTTGTTAGAGTGAGTGTTGTAACGCTTGGGCACAAAATAGTTGTTATTGGAGTAAGTGTTGTAAGTATGTTGTTGTTGGAGAAGAAGAGATCTAAAATTTGTTGCCCTATCAGTCTTCATAGGTGGTGATCTGCACTCAATAAATAATCCTAAACTTGTAGAATTACTTATCCCAATAATTAAAAATAAATCGTTAAAAAGCCGGAGAACAAGTAAGTATAATTAATTTTTTTTATTGATAGAATTTTCTAAATATTATTGTTACTAATAACATTATAGTTTCGGTCATGTTCATTTCGAAACTAAACAGGCTGCGAGGATTTTTATCAAAGCGTTCAAGATAAAGCCTTCATTATTGATGATAATAAAGTTAAAAGTTCGGAAGAAAAAGAGAAAATTCTGACACTTGGTCAATTTCATGAAATAGTATTTGATAATAATATTAATAATAATGATCTTGACTTTAATGATTTGAAAAAAAGAGATCAAGAAACTCAAGTTGAAGGATTATCTTATTTATTACAAAAAAGAGAAAGAGAATTTTGTGACGTTAGTATCCAATGCAAAAGAAAGTTTAAGCAGTGACTTAAAGAAATTCTTGGATCTTTTACTTGCCCAGAATGAAATTATTGGAAAAAACATTGGAAAAAATCAAGAGACTGTTACTTTTGCTCAAGGACAATTAAACGCATACAAAATTATCTTGCAAGATAAACTTCAACATGATGAATTGGAGATTCTTTTAAATGAACAAAAGAAAATCTTGAGATTAGAAAATCGATTGTGCTTTTTGCAAAGCTATGAATAATTAGTAATTACATTATGGTGGTTTTAAATTGTACGAACTTGCTGTTTATAGTACTGATATTAATAGTGGTTGGGAGCATTTAACGACTAGCATCAAAAAAATTAAATTTCAAGTGAAATTGTAAAATTTATTTTAATAAATATTTTGTATAAATTGCTTCGTCAACGCTAAATAAGAAAGTATTCCTAGTTAAAGTCACATGTAATATGCCAATGGTGCTAATCACCTGGAGTGATACGAAAAGAAAAAATTTAGTGGAACGCGACATTGTAAGCAGAAATGAGGTGAGGTTATGGTGATTTGAAAGATTTTATAAGATTTTTGTTTAGGGCAAATTATTGTATTTAGGAAGTTGATATTTCGGTTTTGATAGTAATCGTTTAAATCTATTACGAAATCGAGATTCAAGTTCATTTATTTATTATTATAAAATACCAAAGAAAAATATTATTGTTCGGTAATGTTATTCATATGATTTTCTCAGCTCGATATGTGATTTATTGTCTTGGAAAGATCTGGAAGTCTTTAATATTATTCGATCAAGTCTTGATCTGTCATGAAGGCAGAAGATATCGACATTTTCCCAGGTGGAACATCTACTGGGTGTCGAAACGTTATTGTTTATTATAATAAAAAAAAATTACAATTGCTTTGTTCATAAATAAAATTCTATTAAAATCCGTATAAGGATAATTTTTTTAAAAAAAGGAAACAAAAAAACCTGTTTCTCTTTTCAATCAATCCACCAATCGATTTACTTGGCAAGATTAATAAGTCCACAAGATTTACATCTTCATTAGCGGCATATTTTTGAATAATAGTTTAAGTTGTGTACCTAAATCTGTACAATGAAATGATTCTTGATAAACCATTTCTTTACATTGTGTACAATATCATCGAAGTCGATCTTCAATGAACAAAATGGAAAGGAGAAAAGTCAGATTTTTTTTTAAAAAAAAAGGTGGTATCGTTAATTTACCAATTTCTTCCGGTCTTCGACGCATTTCGATTACAATACCAACCGTATGAGCAAATCGAACGGGATTATGTGGTGTATTAGCTATAATTAATCGATCAGAGAAAAATATTAGCCCAATTAAATTTTATTTTTCCTTTAAAAAAAAAAAAGTAGACAACCTTACCAGGCAATAAGACCATTTCACCCTCCCCAATAGGGATGTCTTTAAATTCCCCGTTATCAATGACTTTTAAGCACATTTCTCCTTTATACTGATAAAACCATTCCTATTATATACATACATATATATAATTATGAATTTTTAATCAATCAAGAAACCTTTATTAAAAAAAAAATCTCATACTTCTGTCTGGTTAATATGATAATCAGTTCGAGAATTAGGACCTCCAACAACCATAATAATAAAATCATCATTATGCTGTAATATAAAATTATTAACAGGGGGCTGTAATTTGTCACTATGTTCTTCAAGCCATTTTGGAAAATTTATTGGTGAAATTGACATTTTGTTTATTGTCTCGGAGAAAGATGAAAAGAAGAATTTACTACAGATAATCATTAAATCGACCAAAAAAGCCATAATATATAACGTGATGATCCCTCTGTGCTTGATCACATTTTATATAATCACAAATCCAACTTGTAAAATAAAAATTGGTCATAGTGAATATAGTGAATATTAAAGAATCTGAAAAATAATTAAAATAATTATAAAATATCCTAATCACTACTCTTGAAAAAAATAAATAAAAATAAAGAAATAAAACTAAACGCCCATCTTTTAATAATGCAACTGCTCAAAATTTCTTTAAGGGACCGTCTTTGTAAGGTTGCTTATAAAAAGAATACATGCCAATTCATGCCTAGTATTATGACGAAAAAAAATTTTTTTCGTTCTTTTTCTCCAAAATTTAGTTTCGAAAATAGGCCTCCCACATGTACTTATTTATCAAAAGAATCATGGGAGCACCAAATATTACCCTACTAACCGTGCCTAATCCAATAAATTTAAGATAATAACCAACTAAGACGCCTGTTACAATGTCCATACAAACTTCTGATACTATTCTTCCTATTCCTAGCGGTTCTGAAGATGATGTCGCATAGCCAAGACCAGTGCATGCAAGAGCGCTAAACTTTACGGAGTTTTCGGTTTCTCCTGTTATATCTCCTATAAAAGTATTAGAAACGATACATTGGATAGGTATAATTGCAATCTTCATTGAATCAATAGCATCCGTGCGAGTTGTTAGAATGTTAAAGAGCAATAACAAACTTATTAATAATTTAATTAATTTCATAATTATGATAATTATGGGTTTGTTTGTTTTATATTTGTTAAAGTTCAGAAGAATTTCTCCTGTGAAAATAAATATAATTCTGTGTATATACAATATATATATATGTGAAAATTTTGATGTTGTCTTACACGTGTACAGTATGTAATGTTGCTAACTCAGACCTTGTCTAAAAATGAAAGGTGAGACTGAGCACATGACTTTCGATCTTTAATTCGGAAAAACCAATAAATTATGGCTCCTTGTGACAATCATAAAATTCATTGATATTATGAATGCAAATAAAAAAAATTCATAATCTAAAAATTAATAATTCTATTTTGACAGAAGTTATGGCTAAGGATAACATTTATTCTTGTCAGTTGACATCTCGATCTTTCTGCGATAATTACAAGATTCCGATAAAGTATTGACATTTTCGACCTTAAAACCTACATTGAGTTAGGACTCTCTTTTTAGAATAGAAAACAGATGGTGTGTTTTTCCTAATTTATAAAATCATGTGTTGTATTACAATTTTTTGTTGTACACATGTGCAATGTGATGAAACTGCCTTAAGCAAAGAAATAACAATGCTGGGACTCGCATTAAATGGCTAGGATCACCGTACTCCTTTCCACTTTGATAGCATCATTATTTCTTTCTCTAACTCTGCTACTTATCTGAATAATATTAACAAAGTTTCATTAACAATTTGAGTTTGAATTTTAATGCATATATCGGAAAATAAAAAATATACATATGGGGCCTTTGCAATAGAAAGGGGGGAAACAGCCGGAAAAATCAAAAGTGAGTTAATGCTAAATTTGAACATATTTCAGCATAAAAATCATATTTGGCATATAAAGTAAAATTAATTTTTCCCGGCAGTTTCCCCCCTTTCTATTGCAAAGGCCCCATATATCGATTTTACGATTACATTAGTTTACTAAGTTATTTTTTGTTATTCATGATATAAGATATTTAATGTATTTGAAATATTATCATTACTAATTACACTCTTTGATCTTCTAGAACTTCTTGCTGGATTTCGTACAAGTCAATTATGAAATTGGGAACTGTGATTGTATCAGGGACTGTAATGGTGTAACTAGTTTCATTCGGGACGTTGGTGTTTGTAGAGAGATCCATAACTATTGGGGGGTCCAGAAAACATCTTCAATTGGAATTGTCACTTGATAAGCAGGGAGTCCCGGAGCAGTGCAAGCAGTAGCGTTAGTAGTACCATATAACAACGTGCCAAATCCCACTATAATATTTGCCAACGTTATACTTTAATAATTGACTATAAATTAACATTAGATAATCTTACTTACAGTTCTAAAAGATACTCGTGGTAGATTTGGATTTGTTGACACTGTAAATCCCGCTGGTGCCGTATATCCTGCTGGCGCTGTTGGTGATACATTTTGGCGCGTAAATAACGTAGCCTAATATTAAAAAAAAAAAGCTCTTAGAGATGAAGCTATAAAAAAAATAACAAGCTAGACATACCAACATCGACCGATGAACATTTCCTTGATGGTTCCTAATAGTATCAAGTTTGATGCCAAGTACATCTCGAACAAATTGTTGACGCAGCCACGTCTCACGTCTCACATCTTGTAGTTAAGTAATCAAGGCTCTGAGTGATAGCTATTTCAACAATTATTCTCGCGTGAGGCAATTCCTACGTAAAGGTATTGTTAAAATTAGGAAAGTGACCCAAACGTGATAATATGTACAAACTCAGAGTACATTTTTGTCGCTTGGTGGAGTTCCAGGATGCGGAAATATTAGGTTGTGGAACATGAGCAGATGATGGATATATTGCAAGGTCTGGTGCCATTTTTTCCCCATGGCCGATTGGATTATAATGGACTATAGAAGAAAAGTAAATTGTTATTACAAGCCAAAAATCAAACAGACTAAAGAAAACCTTTTTACATGATTGACCAGCAATTTTTATCGGACCACGTAATACACCATTATTTGGTCTATCAAACATTTTTATCAACAGAACAGTAGATGTTTCATGTTCCGAACTAGCCATTTCGATAATATAAATGTTTTTTTCCCATTAAAATTTGTACCCAGTCGATTCGTTGCGGTCAAGAAAGGTGTCATACTCTTTCACTGAAACGTTTTTTCCAGAGCTTGAGGTTGAGAAGAACATGTTGAAGAGGTGGTTTTTGTGTGAAATTAGATTATCAATATATATATTTTTTTAATTCTTTGATTAATTTAAATTTAATGAATAATGTGGGATAGGGGTTCGATCCTATTTTTTAAAGACATTAGGATAGAATTCGGATCTCTTATAGCACATCTGAGTTATAATCCAGATCCAGCACAATCTGAAAAAATTCGGATTATCCGTAATTTCAGATTTAATCCGGATTAAAAATAGGATACATTTGGGATATAATATATACGCGACATATAACACAAATATTACAAATTAATAATTATTTAAATTTTCCAATTTACGCAAGTTTATTTTATTTACTTTATTATAAAAACTACTGCCTCTTTTACAATTTATATTACTATTCTATTTCAATTAATTCTTCTGATTCTTTTTCTAAATCATCCCAATTTGGTGCAAAAACATTCATAACATTCATATTCCGTTTCAAAAAAAGCATTTTTCCAACCAAATTAGTATTTAAACGCGTCCTTTGTGCATTGATTAGGTTGCTAGCATCTGAAAACAAATGTTCACTAGATACAGAAGTTGCAGGTATTGCCAAATACTTGCGTGTAAGTTTGGAAAGATTTGTGAAAATTTGTACATGAGCTTTCCAGCATTCTAGTGGATTTTCAGTTTTCATTGCTAATGGCATTGCTAAATAATCCATAATTTTTCCACCATAGTAAACTCATTTGATATCTATTGATTCTTACATTTCATTAAACAGAACTGACAATAATCTTATATAAATGTGAAATTCCTTCATTTGTAGCTAAAGGAATTGATACCAATTGATCTTTTTGTTGAGAAATTACAGTTTCACTACTAATTTAATCATATTCATCATGAAGCTTTTGAATAATTCGCTGTCTTTCACTTTCATCATCTATAAAATCTAAATTTTTGTAATAGGAATCCAAAAGTGCAGTCATTAAGCCAAGATCATAATGCTCAAAAGCCACATTGACAAACAGATGATTTATATTTACATATAACATTGTTATTCTCCCAAGAATACTATATAAAACATAGCTCATATTTTTAGGACAAACTTTTGTGATCAAATGATAGACATGTTTAGACGTCTCCTCAAATCAAAGCTGATTTTCTCTAAAGATATACCAATTTCCACCTTTTACTCACCTCTGTTATACAATATTTCTCATTTGTATGACTCACAACTCCAAGATAAAATGATTGTTCTTAATAATATTTCTAATGACAATAACCTAATTAGTAACACCACAGATATTAGACTGCTCCAATTACAAATTCTTGAATAGCTTTTTACTTTACCTCTCCAAGACTGGCTACATAGTAATCTAATGTCCTTTAAAGATTGGATTGTGATGTTACTATTAGCCTTTAGAGATCTTGATTTTAATTTTAAAGCTCATTTATATTATGAAGACACTGTTAAAGTAGGATCTACATTTTTATATGCTAAACTTAACCAATTATTTTATAGGAAGATTATCCCTACAATTCATCCTAAAGACTTAATGTATTATGAATAGCTCATTTCTGCTAATAGATTAGCTTTCTTTACATATGTAAATACTAAAGTATATGATAATCAATATACATTACTTCGAATACCTAAATGATATAAATATATAGAAAGCTGCTTTAACATAGATCCTATCACCAGATTAATAGCAAGCAATTCTCAGTTATCACATCAATATGAACTCTTTATCATTATTCTATCTTCAGTCAAAACTAATAATATTAATAATTTCATTATTTGTTGGCATTCAATATTAGAACTTGCTGTTGTAAACAGAATTATATATATCAAAAATCAACTTTTTATCTTTCAATATTTTACCCTCTCATAAGCTAATAATTATACATATTTTTATTAAATAAAAATTCACATATTATATTTTATATATAATTATAAAAATTATCATGATAGTAATTTTTTATTAAATAATTATTAAACTTCATTATAAAATATTTTCTTAAATAATATATTATAGCAAATCTATTTCTAATAACTAATAAATTAAAATGTTCTAGTAAAGCTGATTTTAATAACACTATATATCTACCTTTAATTTCAATTGTAATTCCAATTTTACTTAATACCAAATCTCCTTCTTCAAAATCTTCAAAAACTACTATTGCACAAAATGCATATATACAATCTACATTATCTTTATGTAGATCAGTAATGACTTGTCATAATATATTTAATTGATCAGTTTTACCTGATATACTAAAATTTATTGCAAAGCTTTTAAAAAATTGAAGTTTTGTTTCAATACCTGATAAATTAATATTGAAATTATCATATAATTCAGGAAAATTAATCTTAATTAGATTTGCAATTAAAGATTCTAAGCTTATAATTAATGGAAATAAACAATTTTCTAAATAAAGATAAAAATCATATATATTATTTGATCCTAATACTATTAAAAAATATGTTTTCCAAGATCTACATCTATAAAAAATTCCTTATTTATCTTAAAATAATTAAATATATTATCTATATTAATATCTGTAAAATTAATGAAATATACTTGCATATATTTTTCTATAACTTTAGTAAAACGACAATATTTTTCATCTTGTGATAGTAATGAATAATTAAAACGAGCTTGCATTGTCGTATAACTACTATAAATAGTTTGTGAATTTCGGGAATTTGTTTTTAAATCTAATATTATATTTTGAAAATTATTATTATTAATTATATAAGTTAAATCATAAGTAATTTTATGAAATAATTCTATTTTTTGATTCATATGAAATGCATTATTATTAAAAAAATTTTTTATAACTATACATAATACAAACAACTCATTATCAATTAAGGCCTGACCAATTAGAATCTACGGTTTACATAACACCCTCCATTTTTTTATTATTTAGTATGTATAATATACAATATATATGACCAATGAAATTGCAAATTTTAATAATCATGTGATTTATTGATTAATTTTATCGGCAGATTAATAATAGAATTATTTCTCTAAATTATCGTAATACAAATTTTAAGGCGTTACTATGAGTTACCTGTCAATGATCTACAAAAAAATTTCCAACATAGAGTTAGAAATCTGATTCAGCGTTACTAATCAAATATAGAACAATAACAAGACTTTCGGTTTGTTACGTTAAATAGTTAACCCGTTTCTGATAAGCTTATTCGAAATTTTCTTTCAAACAATGTGATATTGCTTTAGGAAGTTACACTATTAATATAATGTTATGTTATGATCATTAAAGATATTTTTTTTTAATTTAAATTCATTTTTTGTAATAAAAATCAAAAATATTTTTTATCTGAAATATATATAAATATATCTAAAAGTAAACGGTTAATAAAATATTTTATTGAAAGTAAAAAAATGACATATTTTCACTTATCTTATATTGCATTAATCGCCTCTGGATACTTCGCCTTTTATATTTTCATTTTTTTAGTGCCTTGTCGTTGATTAACGTTAGATTTTGTTATTTCTGAATTAACTGCCTTTTAAACTTTAGATTACTTTCAAATTCATTTGTTCGGTACATTCACTAATTCTTTTATCACTCAGGGCCTTTTGCTCCGCTGAATAAATTTCAGGAGCCTTTGTATTTTTATAGCGAAAGTTATTTTAATAATTATTTTTTGGGGCGTAGTATCCAAAAAAAAATAAAAATTAGATACCTTTCCCTCCGAACCTATATCGAAAGTTACTTCGATTTGAGGCTTTCTTCGAGATATCAGCTCAATCCTATTCTTCGTTTAGGTAAATTTAATTTTGATTTATCATTTTTTATTTTAATTTCTACTCTAAAAAAAATTAAATTTTAGATACCTTTTCCCTCCGAATTGATATCGAAAGTTACTTCGATTTTAGGCTTTCTCTGAGATATCAGCTCAATCCCACTCTTCGTTTAGGTGAGTTTCGTTTTGATCTTATCATTTATTTTTAAAAAAAAACATTAATTTTATTTAATTTCTACTCTAAATTTTTAAATACCTTTTCCCTCCGAATCGATATTGAAAGTTACTTTGATTTGAGGCTTTCTCTGAGGTATCGGCTTAATCCCACTCTTCATTTAGGTGAGTTTGGATTTAATGTTAATAATTTTTTAGTTTTTATTTTTTTTACTTTATCAAATGCAAAAAAAAATATTAATAAAATTAATTTTTTTATTTAAATTTTCCATTCTTGGCTGGGCATAGTAGTATCTAAAAAAAATTAGATACCTTCGAAAGGTCACGTAAATTTTCTTGTGCAATTGTTAATTCTTTGTTTAGGTAGGTTTCGACTTATTATTTTATTTTTTTTACTCTATCCAAAGCAAAAAAAACTCATTAATTTTTTTTAAATCAAATATTTACCTATCGAAAACGGTAGAATATTTGGTGCGATTCAAAACCAAATGATGATCACTGATCAATAGACCTAATAGATCATGAATCAGAAGGTGGTTCCACAGATAGCCCTAGTTTTTATCAGAAAAATTTCTAATAGATGCGTTAGAAACTTATATAAATGTATAAAAAATATGTTATATCTTGTAGTAACAGTTACTGAAGGTATTAAATGTATATTACCTGAGCGAATAATCACAATTATGGAAAATACACAGTTTTTAGAATTGTATGAAATATTTACCTATGGACAATTTAATAATCAAGATGTTGTAGTTTATGTTCGTCAAAATAAGGTTGACAAATGGGTAGAAGTAAGTGATGGTTTAAACAGTGATCTTAAAATCATGGAAGTCTTAGGATATAATCATGTAAAATTTTCGCTTTTTACAGAATCTGTAAGAAATATAGAACTACACTGTTTTCCTGATGCATTTAAAATTATGATGATTAATACATGATAACTACAACTTCCACAACACTGTACTGAACGTACTAGACGTGACCTATTATACAATGAGATCATTAATCTTTTGCATAATCAAAAAGCTGGTTGGAAGGGAGGTATTCATCAAACTTTAGGAAAGGAATTTGTAAAACGTATTGCAAATGTTCTTTGGTATATCGATTCATATTTAAAATTATTACAATCTTGTTTCTGTCATATGCTCATGCTTTTTAAAGAATTGGTAACATATGCAAGTGATGATACTAATAAAAATACTTATAATCTCACATATCATACTAGTCATCACAAAAAAGAATCTATTTCATATCAAAAGTTGGACCTTTTAATCAAATTATTAGAACTACCTATAGGGCAACCTTAGGTGAATGATAATGAATGGAATAATGTTATTCCTGCTATAATTTTTTTAGTAGATATGATGCGAAAATATAGTGAACATCTTGTAAAAAGTAAAAAAATAATGATCACTATTCATCACAATGATGAATCGGCATTCAATTCAACAAATAATGCTAGTATGTTTCATGTTCTTGGCTGTAAGAAAGATGATCTTAACGAACAATATCAAGAGTTAAATGATGTTATTTTACAACTTGGTTACTATCAATATGTAGATATTTATTCTTATCTTCCTATAGATATTATGAAACGTTATCGATATATTAAAAATCTTCAATTAACATGTTCAATTGGAATTTATAGGTAATATAAACTATAAAATTTACACTAATAGCTGCTTGTTTATTAATTAATGCTAATAGTAAGCATTTCTTTAGATATGCACAAGGAAATTATCTTGGTACGATAACATATATGGAAAATACCAGAATCTGAAGTAACTGTTGAATTCTAAGATGAAACCCAAAAAGTTCGTATGTTGGCTAAAATTCATGAAGGATTGCCTAAATATTTTACTTGGCAAATGAGAAAGAACATTCTTAATAAGGTATTGTTAAATTATATTAAGAAAATTGGTTATATTTAAAATATTTTAAATTGTTTAACATATAAATTATTTGCGTAGTATTCTTTAATAAAAACAGTTACTCCTGCTATATTGCAAATGCTATATTTTGATCTTACTGGAGATGCAGCTATTACATCAAATACTATTAGTCGTGAAATTGAAGAAAGATTACGCTTAATGTTAGCACTTGAAGATCCATCAATAATATTTGATTTGCAAACAAATAATGGATTCAAGGGAAATAAATTTAATATATTTTGGAATGAATTAGATATGTATTTTAATGAGGTATGTAATTTTTGGATTGATAATATTATAATATATATTGTATAATAGTCTTTAATATAATTATATAGGAAACTCTAGCTGTAGATGATCGATACCATAATACAATCATGCATATCCCTTTGGCAATTTCTATACGTGATCTTTGTAACATAATTTTAGCAAGACTACTTATTAAGAATGGTGAACCACTTCCAGCAGAAATTCATATACCATCATATGAATGAATCTGATTACAGTTTTGGCCAACAAATTCTATAATAAGAAGGGCTATACAATATACAGGAAGATATCAAGTTAAATTTAAAGTGCAAGGTAGACTTCTTTATAAAGAAAGTATGGATGCTCATTACTGCGCGGCACTTTTTCATTATTTACGTGAATTTTTGGTTAAATATCGGCAGTGGGCATGTTTTATATCAGCTGATGATAAGCATAAAGTTCCTATTAGTGAAAATGTACCTGTTTCTTCTGGAGTGCGTAATCGTCAATCATTGGCTTTACAAAATAATGATCTAAATGCAGCTGATCATGACTTTACCAAACTTTCTCTTACACCTTCAGTTATTTTTTTTTGTTTCCATTCCAAGTAATATTACAGGTGGATTTTATAATGGACAGGTCTTTATATCTTTTAAATATACAGTTTTTGAGCCAAGCAGCGCTATTCGGCATGCAACTGAATTTTATAATGCTATTTACACAATGTAAACAAACCAAACTTTACCAATTTTATGTCTTTATACTGATGGTGGACCAGACCATAGATGCACTTATGATTCAGTTCAAATTGCTTTAATTAGTCTCTTTTTAAATGGAAATTATGACATGCTTATTGCAGTACACACAGCTCCACATCACAGTTGGACTACCCCTGCAGAAAGAATAATGAGCATCTTAAATTTAGGACTTCAAAATGTAGCAATTATGCGAAACATGATGAGTGATGAATCTGAAGCACTTTTTGACAAAACTGATACACTTAATGAAATTCATGAAAGTGCAAATAAAAATTCTAATTTAAAGACGGAATTGCGAAATTGTATTAAAGATGTTCAAACTTTATTACATAATTGTTCTGAAAGGTTAATTTTAAAAGATCAATATTTTAAATGTTATAATACTACAAGTGAACAAGATATTAATGGCTTATTTGAAGTAAGTAAACAGAAGACACTTGAAAGTATCAATATTTTTATTTTATACATTTAACTTAATTTTAAAATAATATTTTATATAGTCTATGTCAAAGATTGATCCTTCATTGACTTGTAATGATACTACACAAGTTCAATTAATGTATCATAAGGAATTGATTAAATTTATGACAACTCATTGTCATGAACGTGCTTATTCTTTTCAAGTATACTTTTATTTTTAATAAATATACAACTTGTTTAAATTCAATAGTCTTATTATTATTATTTTTTTAGATAAAAAAATGTTAAAGTCTGTCATGTGATATATGCGCACCAATACGTCTTCCACAAATTATCTTTGATAATTATATTTTCTACCTGATCCAATTTCTGCAAAAGGTATTTTATAATTTATAGTAATAATTTTTACTTTTACTTATAAAATCTTTATATTATAAACAATTTCGATTATTATTCTTCATTTAATTCTGTTTATAGAATGAAAACTAGTGAAGAATTTCGTCCAACATTGCAAATTAATCAAGCTAATACTAAACCAACACCAAAAAGTGTATTAATTAGTGGGAAAATTCGTGATTATGTTACATGTTGTGATTGTAGAAAACGGCGATGTGTTTTTAGTGATAAAGCATTAAATCAAGAGGAAATTCAGGATTTTAAACAAGCTTTGGATGCATATGGGAAGTTTGCTAGGAAAATGGGATTCTGAGACATTTTTTAAAAATTGAAATTTTTGATACATATTAATCTATAACTTATAAACTTTAATTGGTTAAAATTTTATATTACATTAGCT